AGATAGCCAACGAGGCGCATAGCGCCGAGTTGGCTATAATCATTTCATATCCAACAAGCCCGAGTGGAATAATTGTTTTATTAAAAACGCCCACAAAATCTCGTTGAATCGCCCCGACTAGAACAAACCGGAAAAGACAAGGGACTTCCGCTATTGACATGTCACACGTCTATCAAAACTGTCAACGCGCAAACGGGCTCGCCTAGACTGCATGAATGAAAAATCAAAACATTGTGCGATGAACATTAGTTTTTTAAAAACTCATCGTGATTCTAGGATTTTACACAGCAGAACAGCTTAAAAAACCTGGCAGATAATGTGAAGGAAAGGAATTTTTAAGTGACAGCCGTCGAAATCACTATGAATTTGGATTTTCGGTGCAGTTATAAAAGTAAGAACAACGGAGAAAAACTACCGGTATTACCTCGTCGCTTGTTATGAAGTTGTTTGAAGCCACAAGCTGGTTTTGCTGAACGAGAAAAGAAGCTATACTGCCGCCTCGATTGCTCTAGTGAATGGCTGCATAGCCTGTATTTGTAGCTGGTTACTTGTGATTTATATTCTTGATGTTGGATAAACAAGCTGCAGTTATCTATCGGCGAGTGACTCGATCGGCGAATGGCTTCGCGATCATGAAGAAACAACACTTGTCTTCTTTCGTAGCTGGTCAAGGTACTTTAGTTCCATGTGTTTTTCGACAAACTTTCAAACAAGCTCTTGTGGCTTTTTTGTTTGTTTTTGTCTTTTTTCGTTCGTTGAAATTGCATTTCTAGTATTCTAAGAAATGAATTAAAACGATTTGCTTCGGGCGCCGTTCCATCCTTCGCGAACAAAAATCTCAGCTAGCTTCCAATTTTAAACTGACGCGTACACCGACCATATATGGAGAACATGGTATATTAGCTCATATACCATAACGGCTAAGCCAATCAAAATGCTAGAATTGCATTATCCAATGATTCAGTTTTTAATAATACCTCATATACGAAAACCGACCTGCATCAATCCTGTCACTTAATATACAATTGCCAGTGACATGCATCACAGACGACTTTTCCGTTCAACGTTTATGTAAGTGTACGAGCTGAAACTAACAAAATTCAATAGGATCTTTATGCAGAAGTCAACGGAACCCCCAACCCCTCCTCCTTACCTTAACACCCCAGATGGACAATGAAAAAGACCTTTCTCACACCTCGAATAATACCCCCACCCAGGTAATTACGGTCATTCATGAGTGGACAAGCGTTCTTAAAATCCATGGCCAGTTCAATGTGATCTTCCTCGATTTTGCGGAGGCCTTTGACACTGAGAGGGTCACGAAAGGCTCCTCCTTAAGGCAAAATTTTACGGTATATCTGGGAAACTAAACAACTGGCTGCGGGCTTTTTTCACTGGTTGGAGACAACGTGTGGTGGTAAATGGTTCTTCGTCCAAGTGGTCACCTGTACTATCCGGTGTCCCCCAGAGTACTGTTCTGGGGCCGAGTTTGTTCCTTGTTTTTGTTAACGATCTGCTATCGTCTGTATCATCAAGAGTCAAGTTATTCGCGGATGACAGTGTGCTCTATCGCCATATTGAGTCTTCAGCTGACCACGATAAGCTCCAGCAGGACCCACTCCAGCTTGAGGAATGGGCGGCTATGTGGCAAATGAAATTTGCCCCTAGTAAATGTTATATCATGTCCATCACCCTTAAGCGTCAGCCATCGTCATTTTCGTGCTCGCGCCTCTGTGTAACACTCCCCTGGGGGGTTACGTTCCAGAAATATTTAGGGGTCTACATCACCAACTCCCTCAATTGGACAAAGCAGCTGTGAAGGTGAAAAAGGAAGCGAATAAGGTCCTAGGTGTACTCCAAAAACTTCCAAAGGAACTTAACGTCTTGTGGCGCTCTTGTCAAGGAACGGGCCTATTTGTCCCTGGTCGGCCCTGTATGCGAGTACGGCCCCGTCGCCTGGAACTTACGCAACAGGACGGGAGAGGAAAGAAGACGGCAAACCCCGTGTGACAAGCGTGACAATAATTTTGTTTGAAATAACTTTTCGCCAAACTTCACTCTCCTTTAAACAGAGCTTTTTGTAAAGACCAGAAAACATTAATGTTAGTTGAAGATCACGACAAAACACGCAGTTAATAGCCCTGTCACTTTTGTCACGCACAAACGTTTTGCCGTCCTGTTGCGTAAACTCACTATACAAAAAGACATTATCTGCGTCGAATACGTTCAGCGTCGTGCTGCGCGCTTTGTTTGTAACGATTACTATCGTTCCAGTAGTGTTAATACAATGTTGTCGAACTTGGGTTGGTAAGATCTTGAGACACGTAGGAAGATCACTAATTTGACAATATTTTTTAAGATAAAGACAGGAAATGTACGGATATCTTTCCCAAACGACCTACGCGCGCTAGGTGGACTGTCTCTACTTGACCCGCGCTAGTACACAGCACCCATTTCAGTTCCAGCGTTGCTCATCTATTATTAACGCGCAAAAGTATTCTTTTTTTTAAAGAACTGTTCACGCTTGGAAGGCCTTGAGTCCTGCCTCCGTATGTGCTGATTCTGTGGCTGCGTTCCATTCAAGTATTCACGGTAATAATTTTATGTATAGACGATTTTTTTTCATATGAGTTGTAATTTTATTTGTGTTTATTTATTTATTTATTTATTTTGCTGTCAATGCCATGAGCTTCCGTGTACTGACCGTCCATCGCCAGATTAGCTCGCTAGAGGCAATTAAAGATTAAAGATTAAAGATGCTCCATGATATCAAAACATTACCTAACACCCTCATTAGCCCGTATGTTTTTCTTAGGCAATCACTTTACAATAAAATGAAAAAAGAACACAAAGGGACATGATCATTTACGCGAAGGGACTGGGGCTAGTTTCAAGGCAAACACCGTTTTAGACGAGCATTAGATCCCATCGGCCTTAACCCCCTTGGACACCTCATGAAGTTTACACAACCTAGTATTCCTTATCGCTTTGGTTTCGAGCCCTGACTGTAGTGATTGGGGTTAAGCAAAGACTGAACACTAAAGAATCAAACAGCCAATCAGACAAAAGTCTCCTTTGCTCTCAGGATCTCATTGGCCAAGCGAAGTTGTTTTAACATCTCTGCAGACAATCAGAATCATGGCGGTAAATGCATTTTCAGCCCACGCATTTCTCGTTTGGCCTGCAAAAAGACGCGTTTTACAGAGGGCAGTTTGTCATTTGGCCGCGCGTATTAGGCTTAGACACAAAAAGTCGGATTTCTTTAACGATTTTTAGAGCATCAGGAGATTCTTAGAAATTTGGGGAGTTTTTAGAAAAAAATGGGATTTCTGGGGGATTTTAAGATGATTTTGAAGAAAACTTTTTCCATTTTCTTTGCCTCTTTATTTAAAATTCCTATGAAATGATAAGTTTGTCCCATTATTTACTAATTAGTGACTGCTAGACTGCAATCCAATTGTGCAGCGGTGTTTCCTATTTCTAATATATCCAATCATTCCAAGGGAAGTAAGTTTCAAACATAGCGTAGGAACCAATGCAAGTGAAGCTTCAGTGAGTTCAATTTCTATTGAAGATGGCGTAGAGCCCAGTGTTACTCGAGAAAATTTGGGGATATTTAGGCATTTTTAGGAAGTTTTAGGATATTTAGGGTCTTTTAGAAAATTTTGGGATATTCAGGGTTTTTTAGAAAATTTTTGGGATGTTTAGGGATTTTTAGAAAATTTTTGGAATATTTAGAGATTTTTGGAGGGATTTTTAGGGAAAAAAACTGGGAATTTCCGGATAGATTTTTAGAGCATTTTTTGGGATATTTCTTTCCAGGCCTAGCGCGTATTGATAATAATTGGTCGCTACGTTTTCCAAGAGGGAGAACAAGGTTCCATAACATATAGCCTGTTCCAGGCGTTCAGATAGTGGGTACGGGGCCAAGAGGATTGAGCAGAAGAAACAGCAATGGGGTGGGCCTGGGGGAGGGGGAGAGAACAAAAGAAACCCTCCCTTCTTTTCCCTCTCCCTCTCCTCCCTCTTTATTTTTTCCCGCTCTCTCTGGCTTTGTTCCGCACTCCACTTCAAATTTCAAGTGACGGGGATTATCGAAGGATTTTTTGGATTTGAAATTTTCGATTGCGGGATTTTTGGGGTAGGAAAATTTGGCAAGTATTTTTTGTGGTGGCTTGATTGAAGTAGGTGAAAATTCGTTGTAGTTCCCGCATATCCTGGCGCGTACCTAAGCAAATAAAGTAAAACTAATTTGTTTTCTGCAAATTTTTATGACTTGGTATGAGAATATTTTTTTAGGTTGTGTTCCCTAGGGATTTTTGGGGGCTTTGATTTCTGCCCCCATTCGATCATCCTCGTCACTTGAAATCTTGAGTATCCCCTCCTTCCCCCAACCCCCGCACCTTAGCTTAACCCCTTGAAACTTCTACAGGTTTGGAGCACTGCCGGACAACGCGACCCAACATCAACCCACACAATGTTTAAGTTTTATCTGACGAAAATCATTTCATTAAACGCCGCATCAAGGTGGCCATCGGCATCAAATAAAGAAAACCTTCTCTGAACTACGGACGGGTGCCTGGAGCTCCCGGCCATTTACAATCCTCTTAGACTGGGAATACGTAACAACCTTCTATAGCGCAACCTCACTTTACATCGTTGAGATTAAGTTCGAATCTGAATGCGAACGAAATATTTGATTAGTTTGAAATTGATGCTCCAAGTTTTGGAATTTGTTTGTTCAATTGCTTAATTGGAGAATAAAATAAAGGAGGAAACAAAGAAAGGAAGGGATGTAATGCTTCTGCGGCCGGCGGCCATCATCTTCGCCTTTCTAGTTTTACCGCGTTTTTTCTCTTTCTCATTTTCCTTATTTATTCCCAATTTTAAAACAATTTTTCATTTCCCCTTTTGCTCTTATTTTTCTTTTTCCGCAACATCCCAGAATGAGCGTGGGCTCAAGAGCTGCTAGAAAATGTCATGCGCTCTGAACAGAAGGAGAGCAAATAAGTGCCAGACGGAAGTAGCACGAAGTCAGCTTGCTGCTTTCGATTTCGCATAGAGATATTTCCTTCTTTTACGTGTTTATATTAATGCTGGAAATCATGGGTTGACTTTACTTTCTCATTCAGCGTATCACTGTGTAGCGTGCACGTAAAATAATGAAGATTGACACTACTTTCTTCATGTCTCTTGGATTTCCCATTGCTGTTTATTTCCCGGTTTATTTTCTCCATAAATTCTCCAGATTCCTCAAGGTAAGCTATGAACAACGATCCCATATTGCACATATCAACTTTTTAACATTTCTGAAGATAAGGGCGTCATCTTCAATCCACTACGTTTAGTCTTAGTTTGAAATAGATTCTTGAGCATTTTTGAAAACAGCACGGTGAAAGCATCAATAATTTATTGTAATGGACCCTAAAAATTTCGCTGTGGCTATATGGCCGGTAACCGGTCAAGGTTTTCAAAATACTAAATGGCCGGCAGTCCTGTCTTTTCATCAGATTTCACAAATCGAACAAATCCAGCTAAACCAAACTATCATACGTCGATTAAGAAAACTCAAGCAATCCTGAAATGCTTTATAGATCTCAAAAATAGCGTTTGGTTCACGCTGGGCTCAGAAGACGAAAGCATGGTTTGACACTTTCTTCAGTTCGACTGCTGGTCAAGGTTTTCAAAACACTAAATGACCGGCAGTCCTATATTTTCATTTTCTGAGCCCAGCGTAAACCAAACGCTAGACTGACTTTTCTTTATTGACATTTGACGGTTTAGTTTAGCTGGATTTTTTCGATTTTTGAAATCTATGGAGAATATAGGACTGCCGGTCATTTAGTGTTTTCAATAGGGACCTTAAGCATCACGTTTTTCATGGGGTCATGTTTGCAGTTTGCAGTTCACGTTTGAACCGCGGGAAGGGCTTCCAGCAGTAAGTGATTTATGGCAAGGTTTTTTGCCACAAAGAATTGTACAGCCTCGCGTTTAAAGGTATGAACTAGCTTTTTATATCCGTTTGCGATGTGTTTGTTGGATTTTTGATCTCGAATCAATGAATTATTGCTGAGTTTTGGGCGTTTAAAGTTATGCACTTCGACTTGATGAAAACAACATGGCGGCTCTAAACATTGAACGCGTAGTTCAAATCAATTTTATATTCGTTTCTGCCGTACTAACAAAGGAAAGTATTCTGTTCCAATCCAGTGTTACATTTTTTTTCTATCTTGTTACTGAATTCATAACTTAACTCAGTCTCTGTTTAGTTCCTATTTTTAAAGTATCACTCTGTGAATTTTCGTTTTATTTTGCTTATTTCTTTGAGACTGGGGAGCCCAGGCTTCATAAAGCCTTCCCGTTTCTTCTGGGCTCCCCTGCAACCTTACAATTTCTATATGTATTCTTGTATTGTATTATATTTTGCCTAAATAATAATGAACTGAACTGAACTGAACGCCTTGCTAAAGTTTGAAATCTCGGCAACGCAAAACTGCAAGGTAGTGGTGCGTAAGGGAAAGATTTAACGACACTTGAAAAATTTCAGACTTTACAAGGAAAATTTACAGGTTACCTAATTTTAATATGCTCTTTCAGCTCGTGCTAACAAAATTTTCCAAAAGCGAACTGTTTTCATGTTTACCAAAAGTTGGTCACATGATCAAATAATGCAATAGGCCTATTGTGTACGTGAATCATCTTGCTGAAAAGAATAGACTGTATTTAACGATACAAAAAATTTATATTACAATCAATGGGTTATTCCAGAAGAAATCCACACCCCCACAAGGGAAGGCATGCTGAAAAATTCTCACAGGAGGGGCGGTTAACAGCTCTGGAAATTCAGACGGGAGGGGGTCTTGGAACGTAAAGATACATCCTCGGGGGTTACTTTCAATTTTACTGATGTTTCAATTGCTTCAATTGATAAAAAAAAATATTTGTTTGCGTTTTCCAATTTTATTATTCTTTCAAACTACAGACCTCTTACCACATTTATTTTAAGTTTCCACCCATAGGCTCACCTTTGTTACTTTTGTCTGCTTTTGTAGAAGTGACTTGTGATAACTTGAAGATATCAAGAAAAATCACATAATTCATAAAAAAGCGCTCAATTCAAGTAAAGCAAACAATGATTTTTACCTTGAATTAAGCATTTTTCCAAGGTCAATGCTATTTCAGGGTGATTTACCACTAAACACGCCTTGCAAGTACGTAAGCATGATTGTTCGTGATTGTTCGGTGACCATTTTAAAAGGCAAGTGGTGTAGCTAGCGGTATAGCACGTTATGTAATATCCCACTAAGTGTCCGTTTTCTTCTTTCGCAGTCATTTTTTTCACGTATCGACAAAGAAGAGAACCTTTTATTCGGGTACATAGTTAGTTTTGCGCATATATTGCTGTGTATTTTGCCTGGCCTAGGAAAAAAGAGACGTTCATTCAATTGTGAGCTTATTTGCCAAAAAGTGTAAGCCTATTTAAGAAGATGTGAAAATGTAATGTTAACTTTCACAACAAACACAGAATTTACAAAAATTGATACTTATTTGATAAGAAGATCATCCAACTGCCTAAAACAATTAATCTTCTTCATTAAGTGTAAATTAAAATTATGGTGTCTAACAATTTTATGGAAATCTAGATGGGTAGGGGGGTCTTTGAACTTGGAAATCCTGAGGAGGGGGGCTCAAGCAGTTTTGGAAATTTAAGTGGAAGAGGAGGGGGGGTCAAGAAACCCAATGTATAATGCACCCATCAATGTAAACCCTGTGGGGAGGGGGAGTGCGGGCAAGGGGTGGGAATTTGACAAATTTTAAAACTTTTTGATCAAATTCCCCAGGGTGGGAAACGAAAGGTCAATCAAAAGTGTCAAAAAAGCCCCCAACCCAGGGGAAAAATCTAAACAAACAATACTATAATACTATATAAAACAAATCAAAGAACATTTCAAAAGTACGTTCTTACTACTTTTATTTAAGTTTAATGTAAGTTCCATTAAATTACTCGCTGTAATTAAGTATTTTCTCTCTCCACTAGCATCTCTTATTTTGAACAACATAATCGCTCCAGGAAGATTGACCGTGCTATTATATTAATGAAACGTAAAAATAATGCTTTATAACATCTGCTCAACATGTCGGAACAGGTCGGATCAGTGGCCCGTAAAAAATCCTCTGACTTTCATGGTAAAATTCGATTTCAATCGAGGTTTACAATCAGATGGGAACTTGAAGATAAAAACTTTCTCAAAATAGCCATTATCTGTTTAGATGACAGTGTAAAGTATCGGATTATGGCGATTAAAACAAATGAAAACTTCATACCTTTCTCCAACAGCATGACTTTCAGAAAGACTCGAGGGACGGACTTGGTAACCGCTTCTGAATTGATACCAGGCTTCTATTGGTCAAAGTCAAATGTCCCAACCCCGGGGTCGCTTTGCACGATCAAAAGCCTGGCAGGGGGATAGTCTCAGGCATCAAATCCCTCCCTTGCCCGCCTCCCGCCATGGGATTTACATTGATAGGTGCATAATATCTAATCACATGTATTTTTTCTTTTTTAGTGTCCTAATATTGTTCATGGCTCAATCAGGAGCACGCATGCCCATAAAGATAAATAACAGATTATAAGGTAAAAGTAAAAAGAGTATGTGCATATAACTTTTTTTTACATAATGTAATTCTTCCTGTTCTGAATTTCTCATCATGAAATCGCAATTCGATATTTTAAAAGTAGCACAAAATTCCGAAAACAAGCCCCGGGGCTTATGTTTTTCAAAGGCCCTTTTTGAGGGGCTTATTTTTGGAGGGGCTTATATTTGGAGGGGCTCATCTATGGAGGGAAATTTGCGCTTCAAAATCGATTGGGCTAGTCTTATAGTTGGAAGGAAATTTACCATTTTTGCTTTGTTTTACTTTGTATTTGAGAGCAATTTCCAAGTACCAGCCCCTGGGGGGAGCTTATATTTGGAGGGGCGAATTAATGGAGGGTTTTTTGCATTACGAGTTTGGGGAGCTTATATTTGGAGGGGCTTATTTTCAGAACTTTACTGTATGCTGGTTTTATAGTAGTTGAATGGTTGATCTGTACAAATGTGTTTACATCAATGCACATTATATTTTAAAAAAATGTCATGTAGTTCTGCTGGGGCGCTGCAGGGCTTGTATAGAGTCAACATTTTTTCACCCATTTCAATTGTATGAGCCTTATTAAATTATGAACATCAAAAACAATGCTTAATATGTGAAACTTCAATCCGTCTGTCTTTATTGGCTGAATCACCTCAGAGACAAAATTAATAATATAATGCTAATGGACAGAGTCAGAAGAAGAGATGCTAAAACTCAGAACCAAAAAATTACAAATTATCTGTTTATATTAAATACAGGTCATCTGATATTATGCGATGGTGTGATTTCGCACAATTGACCTCAAATTGCATCCAATCGCACAATTTGAGGAAAATCACATAATTCGTAAAAAAAAATGCTGAATTCAAGTAAAGTAAACAATGAATTCTAACTTTAATTAAACATTTTCCCAATCTTAATGTTATTTAAGGTGATTTACCACTAAGGAAAGTCTGCAAGACATCTGAAACCTTCGATCGCGGTATCTTGGCAGCCATTTTGGGCGCTTTCCATTTACTCAAAATTTCCGGAATTTCCAGTTCGGCGGTAAATGGAACACATTTCGTCGGTTCGTCCCACTGGAAAATTCCCAGAAAAAGTGGAAAATCTAAAAAGGTGGTCCCGTTTTCCCGGGTGGAATTTCCGAACGGAATCTCGTGTTCCATTTACGTTTCTCGTAGTTTGTACCAGTTCCAGGTCCACGGTCGGGCACCTCCACGTACCGGGGTTTACGACCAAATGGAACAACTTTTTACCAATCGGAAATTCCACTTTTGCTACCACCGAAATTTCCGGGTTTTTTTCCTAAATGGAAAGCGCCCTTTGACTTTAGAGATGAGCAGTGTGGTCAGCGGTGTAATGGCATCATGTAATATTAAGCAAGTGTCCTTTTTTTTTCCGGGTCAAAATAATCGAACAAATTTAACTATTTTGTTTTAAAATAGATGTTTTATTATTCCTTTACATTCAAATTGCTTGTTAAACAACATTAAAGTGGTTTTTCTCCTTTGAAACCGTGTAAAACAATGTAAAATCGCCCTGAAAAAATCACATAATTTATCGCATAATCGTCCTATCTTATCGCACAATCTACCCTGAAAATATCGCACAATTTCTGATTTTTTATTGCATCTTATCAGATGGCCTGTAAATATATTTATATAATTACCACAGGCTTAAATTAGGACAATCATTAAAGCAAACTGTGTCAATATATTTAGCATGATATGGTAGTACTAAAATAATGCTCAGATTTCTAACTTATGAGACTAGACTGCCAATTTATACATGGTCACTTGAGCCACCCGAAAGTCTAGCTATTTGCAGGGCAAAGGCAGTACATGTACTGTACCTTCATTTCTTAGTTATTTTGAGACCCTGATTATTGGTCCAGTTCTGGAGATTGAACCCATGACCTCCCATTCTGCAGTCGAGCACTCTGCTGATTGAGGTTAAGTCCTGTGGCGGTTGAGGTTAACAAGGCCCTTCCTCTTAAAAGACATTTTTAAAAATTGAGCCTATCATCAGTGCATTATTTCTTTTATATTAGCCCACGTAATAATCATTCCCCTGACTTTCAACTTTCACATTCTCTATCTCCCCAATCTAACGCAGCATGTGGGAAGACACTTAGGAAGCAACATTTATCACGTCCCAGTTGAGGGTAAGGAGGGGGTTGGAGAGGGCAAAGGGGTATGATTTTCAAAAAGGTTAATTTGGGGGAGGGGGGGGCAGGGGTCAATTTTGAAAATGCAAAAAACGAGAGGGGGTTGAAATTGTAAGATACAAGACTTACATGTAACATTCTCTGTAAAAGTTGTCAACAAACTATATTATCATTGAAGCAAATCCACGTTTCCTTCAAGAGTACTGGCTGTAAAAAAATATTCACTCGAAGGGTTCCTTGCCAGCAGCAAAATTGTTCATCTGTAGATTATTATTGTGCCCACTTTACTGTATTATGCAAAAAAACCTGTGGGGCTACCCCTCATGCATCTGCCAGTAGCCATCACATTGACTGCTATGTAACCAAGCTTGGCCTAGGACCCTATAAACTATTTCTAAACAAGTATCTGCTAATAAATTTTTGCTTATGAAGTCAATGCAGCCTATTGGAAAGAAAGGAGAGACAAACGGATTATCTTAAAACGTGGTCTAGGAGGGGTTTAGGGGAGGGGCTGCAATTTTCATAGGAAATTATTTGGGGGGGGTTAGTTTTGATGATACACTACAAACCTCCCCAAACGTGGAGATTTCAAAAACATTGGTCTAATGAAACCAAAAAGTAAAAGGCAGAATATTCTGTCATAGTATTCTTTTCCTTAATTGTTTTACGATATTTGCAATGGCTGCTTCAGCTGCTGATTTTTTTTTTCTTCTGAAGCTGGGAGGCCCTGAAGTCTCTAAGTTAGTTTGAGATTTTGTTTCACTAATCCTCGTTGATAGGACATTTGAATTTGCTATAAGGCTTAGCTAATCCTATATTTCAAGGGAATGAGATTGGAACAATAATATTGGACCCTGAGTTTTTCCTCTGAAAATTAGATTGATACAATTTATATAGCTAGTTTGAAGACGGATGTTTTGAAATTACGTGACTCCTACCAGAATTTTCTGGCAACTTTAAGATCTTCTGATTCACCATGAGATTTGAAGGCTAAATTGTGAGTCCATTTTTTTTTTTTTGTTTTTTTACTTTTCAAACTTTTATTGAATACTGCACAGCGTTACAAGACTAATGTTACATGACATTGCATGATATTACATTAAAATAAATTACAAATACATTAACGAACTTTAAACGGTAAAGTAACTATACAAAAAAGAAAAGTATGTTCTAAGTACAGACGGCACTAGGGTACCGAGTCTAAAGGCAGAGCCCACTTCTTATTAAATTTGTCCATTTTATTAGTTTTAACACATATATACTTTTCCTTGGATGAAAAGGCAGTTATGACTGGAAGAGTCTGATTTCTCCTACAACCCCATAAGTATAGTTTAGCAATCAGTATCAAATAATTCAGTAAAGGGCAATTTGTATATAATATTCCTGTAATAACATCTTGTAAGGTCAGGCAGATGAATTCTCTTGTCAATGTGTAATAGTAATATTGAAATTCCTTCCAAAACTGCTTGGTGTGTCTACATTCGAAAAAGATGTGGTAAAGGGATTCCGAATCCGTTTTGCATAGTGAACATTTATTATCTTGAATATAACCTATTTTGCATAACTTTTTATTGGTAAATAAAATTGAATTAAGGACTTCGTATTGAAAAGCTTTTAGATAAGGTGCAAATGCTACCTCATGTGGAAGAGGGAATACTTTTTTCAGCTGGTCTTGGGTTAGATTGAAATTGTGAGTCCATGAGTTGACAGCCCAAACCGTGAGTCTCACAGTCAAACCGTGAGAGTTAAAAGGTCTGGGATAAACTTCATTGCAAGCTTAATTTCTCAGACTTGAAAGTTAGCTGATAAAAGGTTTCCAGAAAAAAATAAAGGCATTAAAAGGGAAATAAAAACAAAATTTATTTGTTCACATGGTTTAAATTGAAGTTTATTATTTCAGTCATGATTGTGTCTCTGAATTTTTCTCATTCAACTGGAATCTGCTGATGTTCATTAATTTTCATGACTTTTTCTGGCTTAATTCAATCAATTGAAAGCATTTGGATGTGCAATGTAACATTCTTTGTTGGCAACTTGTTTTGATTTTTTTTTTTTTGACAGAAAATTTGTTTTCCAAAATTTTATAAGCCAAAAACAAGAGAGTAATTTAAACATCACGTGTGCCGCGAATGGCGAAGTTGGCCTTGTGCCTAAAAGATTTTAGGGAGTAAAACTGTCCTTCTTCAGGTTCCATCCACCAAAATGTATTGGTCAGGTCGGCAATATTCTACATTATTGTTAATTTTATTTTAAATGCACTCTGCTAACTGTTAGTGAATTTCACGTATTAAGTTAAGACTGGTTTGTTCATTTATTCATGGAGTCACAGTGGGTTCAATTTCTTCAGGACGCACAGATAACCAAATTATCTTACCCATGGTTCTAACCTTTCTGTGTTAATTCTTTGTTTCTTTCAGATTACATGATCCTTCTTTGTGATGGATAATCTCGTCAAAGTTACATTGAGGTCTCAGACCATATTCAGTGGCTTTCTTTTTTTGTTCTCTGTGACTTCCTGGTCCACTGTCATTAATCAACTTAAAGACTATGAAGGCAGAGACAGGCTGCAATTCAACTGTATGCCGGAAGAAATTAAATTCAAAACACAGCGTTGTTATAACAATTACACTTCTGCCATGAGTTCACACCTAACACCGTTGGGATTTGCTGGTATTACCTTTGGTGTGTCAGGATTTGGCTGGCTGTTTGTTACTCTGCTAGGTGTCGAGATGTGGCGACGCATCCGCAAAGAGGCAAATATAGAGAGACAAAAAAAGTTGGAGAGACTATTTTTTTGGGTGTTTATTTTTCACATCTGCGGTCAGTTTGTCCTTCTAGTTGTTATGATCGGACTGTTCTTGCGTTACCAGAAACTTAAATATCCTGCGGAGTATAGTTGTTTTTCAGCAAACACAACGCTCACATGCAACGACTTACGATACAAAGAGAAATCAAACCTCAACATTGCTATTATTGTGGTCTTTTCAGTATCCATTGTATTCTGTTTATTGACCATAATTCATTTAGCATTATCAAAGGATGAACTATCAAAGCTATTGCTAGGAAATATTGAAGAAGACCATAATGGGGAGGAGAACATACCTTTACAAGGTGAGTTACTACAATGCTATCGACATTATATTAGTCCTCAATGCTGCCTCACTCACTAAAGAGCACCTTCCTTGAAATTATTTTGATCAAGCAAGGGACCTATTAAACTGTAGTTGTCTTTATAGTTACCAGTTACCATTTTTAGCTTAGCTTTTAGTAAGCTTTAGCATCAATGATTGAAAAGAAAATGTCGAAATTTTAAATAACTCCTCTGTCTGAGAAGAAACACAGAGCTTTATTTGCCTCTGTCAACTCACCATGAAGGAAAAAGCTTTTTTTTGTCAGTTCTTGCAAATGCTGTCAACAGCGTCGGGCTACAATCGAGGTGAGCTTTGTTTATCTGCAGTGTTCTTTGCCATGTTAAATTGCTGGCACGTGCAGTTTTCGAAATTATTTGCTTTACTTTTTTTCTCCTTAAATTTACTTCTACTTCTACTCAAAATTGGTCTTGTGATGAAATCCCGAGTTCACAAAACAGTTAAACAAAGCAGCCTCGTTTTCCTCTGTAGTGGTAAAAACATTGCTTTGAGCGTATGAAAGTCAAGTACAGTAAATCACTTCACAATAAATCACGCTGTTTAAACACCATGGAAGTCTTTTCTGACCTTCAAAATCATCGCCACTGGGATATTCTTGTATTTTCAAAAAGTTCTTACTCGACTGAAACTTCATGGTCGCGATTTTGTTTTGCTTTATATATATTCACCGCCTAGTGCTTTGAATATCTAAGCAATGTCCACCCTTTCTATGGGTTTACCGGCGTGATAATCCGCACGCGGGATGTTGGGAGAACACGAGAAAAGCTTGTAAATCATGAGCGAAGGCAAGTGATTTCAAGCTGTTCTCCCAACATCCCGCGTGGGTTATCACGCCGGTAAACCCATAGAAAGTGTGGCGTATTGCTTTCATAAAATAACTTTAAGTTTTCTATGAGTTTACCAGCACAATAAACTGTAGGTTTTTAACCAATCAGAATGCGCGTACTATCTTAGTTATTTTAAATGTCATAGTCCGAGATCAGATTGCTTGAATCACGAGATCACTCAGTGTGTATATACTAATAAGTCATATAAGCAGCAACGATTGACATTAATTATACCCACGTATAATTATAATATACTTTGAAGTAAACATTGATTGTCATCAACATTAACTGCATGTTGTTAAGCTTTGTTAGCAATTGAATAAAAAACTATTTAACTCAGTCAGAAATTTTCAGTCCTTTGAAAGACTGCTTTCACTAAACAAGTCATGAAATTTTCCCTTGACGTTTTACCTATAGATTAACACATTTATAAGAAATTATGATATTGCAATTGCTGTTGTTTGGTAAACTGACTGACTTTATGACATGCACTAGGTCTACCAGCCTACCTTGCATATTCATTAAAATGCAAAAATAAAAGTTTGGTACTAAAAATGTTCTGATACCTGCATATGTTTTTTTCACTAATCCCCCTCAACGTCAGCGAACTGAGTGACTTCTAAATTTTCAGTCTTCTAAATTTATTCTTGTTACTGTTACAGATGTTGTTTCAAAACAAGAGTCTGCTGATAGAGATCACTCAAAAACAGCAGGTAAAGAAATAGGTTATAGTCTGTGACCTGAATCCTTAGTCTGTAAGAGCCCTTGATGGGCCTTTGTCACACGGCGCCCACTTTGTCCTGAGAAACTGAAGTAGCTTTGTTTCCTGTCTAGCCTTGTTCCTAAGTTTTTCACTGCAAGGTTGAGGTGGTAAAACAAAGCTTTTTTTCAGTCTCTCAGGACAATTAATGAAACATTTGTAAAAAATCATCACATTGCATATCTGTTCAAAGATAAATTTCTTAAAATTTTATGGTATTTAGTATCCGACAGTGCCAGGTCCAGACCTGGAGATAAGGGGGGCCTAGTCATCCAGACCTTAGAGAGGGGGTGGGGAACGGTCTCCAAAAAATTTTTTTTCAGCCCTTCAGGCCTCATCAGTTTGGTCTAAAAATAAGAGGGGGGCCTGGTCCCCCTAGGGCTCCTCCCCTGGATCTGCCACTGTCTGATATCCAAACCACCGTCACAGTTGTGATCTTCTTTGTTTTCTCTTTATGAATTATTCTTTATGAATACCACTAATGAGTTGTAGAATGGATCTGCTTAAACTCTCTGGAATATCTTTATCTATTTGTTTGAGTATAGTTTTTTTTACAGTTCTAGAAGTGAATGCAAACTAAAGTTCCGATGTAAACATGCAAATGGCATTCAAAATGCCTACAGTCCCATGTTTTCTGAGCATTGCAAGTGTGAACAAACCTACTTGCCGTAAAAACCTATAATCAAATACTTGTGTCGTCCAAGTTTGCAGGATACTTTACCAATAGGAAATGTGGAGGAATGTAGTGTGCATTGTTTTGCAAAAGAGAGCATAACGTCATGACAGTGAATATTTTGTAACACGGAGTCTTGGGTCTGTTTGTAGGTTTAAGGTTGAGCTTTGAATTGTAAGGTGGCCACTTTTATATTGCCCATAATACACCTTGGTTACCACCCATAATTTGGCAAAGTATTGTTTTCTCTTTTCAATTCCTATGCAAAATTTGCCTGGAGTGAGGCCGGGGGTACAAGACATGTATTATCTGCTGTATCATATGTAGAAGTAGCAAATTGCATTTAATTCATACATGTCAAATGAACATTTCAGATGACTTAATGCACTAATTAAACTGATCTGATCATGTGCAGTGTTGGTTCCCGTGTTCGCAGAAACATAATTTCTCAAACTTGTTCGTAAAGAAGAAAACAAAGAAAATCACAACTTACCGTGACGGTGGTTTGGATATCAGATAATTATTATCATAAAATTTTGCAAAATTTATCTTTGACTTTCTCCAAGAATTGTACCATAAATGATTGATTAAGCGCCGCGACGCTTATACGAGAGCGGCGCTTATTTGAGAGCAGCACTTATTTCAACTACGGGTAAAACAGTGAGGGGAATATGGAGAGAATTAAGTGAGGCGGGTACTAAGTGGTATGCACGATTTAGAACGAAATATGGTGATCTCAAACTGTTATATGAACCTGGTTTCAAGAGCTTCCCTACATTAAAACTTTAGAAATAACGAGTTGGTTGAAGTCCTATTTCTCAAGGGATATCAAGCACCATAACAGAGGTGGGGCCTTAATATGTAAATACCCAAATTAGTGCCACGGTGGTGCTTATTCATGTCTGTTAAATTATTTTTGGTAAAGGTGCTGCGCTTAATAGATTATTTATGGTAGTTCATTTGAGAAGCTACATCAAAAACTCCACTCAGTATTTCATCCGATATCCAGACACATGCACCTTGAAGTCAGTCTTTAAAAACTCGGCTACACCTCGTTTTTCAACCCACTTTTCGGTGTCTGGATATCGGATAAAACCATGCCTGTCGTTTTTGATATATTACTTTTCAAACTCGTTAATTATACCTGATCATACAATCAAAAGCCAATAAATGACAATTATTTGGGTCAGGTGGATGAATCTTGATATCTAATGAAACATCAGGTAAAACACCACCAGGTTTTCATCTGAGGTGAAACATGTTTTTCATCTGAGATCAAACACTTGCATTTCAATGGTGTTTTATTGATTAACACAACTCATGGGAACAATGAAATACCAGCTAGAGAAAACATTTCACTGCATAATTTCTTATTGTTTCATTTGAGAAGACATCACGGCCTCGTGCTTTCATCTGTTTCTCGGTGTTTGGAACCCATGATGAAGCACTCTCCCTTGTTTTTTACATATTATACAAAAATGTCTGTAGTCTCTTAGTTCATGTAGATTCAGCAGGGTAATGGATCATTTTAAATCTATAGTTTTTGGTACTGTCACTGTTCTGTGTCTTAGACTCCTTATTAAAACTCATTTTGAAGTCTCAAATGATTATTAAACTCGGCTCCACAAAATATCATGATTTTTCAATGTCTATTAATTATTTGCACATGCTGAATAATTATTGATCTGCTCACCACCTGGTACTGACAAATCACTATATTTTGCTCACCCTCATAAAATAATTATGTTAGTTCACAACGGCTTAATAGACTTGGTCTTTAGCTATGAGTGTGTTAATGCGCCAACAATTCTCGTGTTGAGACACCTGTGGCTGGAGACATTGTCAACGACCATGGCAATCAGTGTACGAAGCCCTAGAGCTTCTGCTTGCTCTCTTCCATAGGCTACGTCTGATATTCACAAGTGCAGTTAATTTTAAAATTCCCCCACCAAATGATTCATACCTTAATTAGACTATTAATTGACGTTTATTCACCGTAATGTATCTGTATAATACACTGTAGTTTTTAGGTAATGTTATGTTTTTTATGCAATGGTTAGAATCCGAGATGTCAGAATCTTCACAGGGAGGCAGTGATGACATCACAGCCCAGGTTACAACTGGACTCCCATCTAAAGATGATACAAGCAGCCCTCAAGGGGACCCTCCTGAGCTTAATAAAGTTCCTCCATCCTCCGCTGATATTAAGGCAATTACCAAACCTTCAAAACATGCTGATCTGCCAGTTGACATTCTGTTACTTACAGTTACAAACTGTGAGTTCTTAGCTTGTTATAGTGAGCTAAAAAACCCCTATAGATGTTGGTTTGATGGTCTTGGCTATGTTTACTTTTCTGATGTGGGTCAAAGTCAAGAGGAGTTAAAAGTTGCTTTACTAAGATGTTACAAAAATGGTATTGGTCCTGGTGGTTCTCTTGTATCTGTAAAGAATGCAGCCTCCGTGCTAAGACCCAAAGCAGTTATTTCTGTAGGTACATGTAGTGGCCTTGACCCTGCAAAATCCAAGTTAGGAGATGTTGTAGTGTCTGCCAAATTAGCAACATATGCATCGAAAGTAGTGACCAGCAATCAAGAGCAGTCAACTGGTATGAGAAGTTATGTGAAGAAACGCTTTCTGAATGTCATTAAAAATTGCACTGATGGATGGCAAGCACCTTTGAAGAATCCTGAAGCTCAGCAAGTTCAAGTTTATACTGATGCTGAGTTTTTGAGTGGACCGGAAGAAGTCAGAGCTGAGTGGCGGCGTGATCAACTTGCTGAAACCAATCCTCGGGCAATGGCAATAGAAAATGAAGGAGAAGGTGAGTTGACGTTTTATGCAGCCAGTGTTAGGAAGGAAGTGCATGCAGTCAGGTCTCTTTTAACTTGTAGATGTGTATGTTGCTTTTGATTCAGTGTCTATTTCAAGGCATTGTTCAATTCATTGTTTGCTTGTTTGAGTTTGATATTATAATATATTTTTTTTTGCTGTAAAGGTGGGCCTGCTCCCATTGAATGGGTCTTCATTCAATGCTCAGTTGCCAGAGCACAGTTTGTCATGCTAATGTAGACGCCATGGGTTCAAATTCCGTTAGAGCCCCCCACCACCCCTCCCCCCTACTTTTTTCACGTTTCGCTTTGATTGCTGTTTTAATTACAATGATAATATCTGCAAATTAAACCCATTAAACCCTTAAGCGTTTGATTAATCTTCAAAAATGGGTTATCAGAATAGTTTCCAGGGGTCCTTTTGATGCACATGCCAATCCTATTTTTGTAAGCTTACGAATTCTAAAATTTGAAGATATTATCAAATTCCAAATAATAAAGTTATATACTTTAATAAAAAGCACCTTCTTCCTAACAGTTTCAGTGACATGTTTTTGCTTAACTGTGACGTACATACATTTAGAAGTAAGAATTCCATCCGTTTCTCCTACTACAGGACAAATGTAAGAAAATTTTCAGTTTGTTTTTAAGGGCCCAAAATATTTCATTCCCTTACTTCTGAAATTCAGACTGCCTCTAGTATTGCCTTGTTTAATTCTAAACTTAAGTCATTTTTTCTTGGCATAAGTATACTTTAGTTCTCTTAATGCCTGTGTGTACTTTTTCGCTTTTTTTCTCATTTATTCTTGCTTTATTTTTTTTCTCACCTTTCCTTTTTCGTTTTTTGCACTTACACGCCTTATCACTTTTTATCTATGTTCTTAAAAAAATTGTGCACACTTAGAGAGTTAAATTGTTTTGCCGATGTCAGTATTTTATTTATTTATTATATAACATAATTTTAAAGGGGGTCCTATTCACAAGCCTTATTGGCTTCCTTGAACCCCCTTGCCCCATCTCCTTTTAAACTTAATACGTATATGTTTGTTTTTGATGGCAAAAATGATAATAAACAAATAAATAAATAAATTGACAAATAATAGGTGTGGGGAAGGTGCCTGGTGAAACTGAAAAACTGAAGGGAACCACAAGCGAACGTGGAAGGTAACCATGACAACCCTACATATATGAGCAGCACCTTCCTGGCACTGTCACTGAGACCTTCAAAGGAGAAATGCGCAGATACTTACCAAAAAAACATCTAAAGGGAAGTGAGGGCTGGGAGCAAAAAACAGGTTAAGTTACTGCATGCAGAAGCAACATATGATACTGTGAATCATTATATTCTGTTAGATAAACTTGAGTACTATGGATTCAGGGGGATTGTGTTAGAATGGTTTCGTAACTTCTTAACAAATAGGAAACAAATAGTTAATTATAGATCCGTTGAGTCAACAAATTCCATCGTTACTTGTGG